TTTGACTCCCAAGGCTTGCTCATCTCTTTCTCCCTGTCTCCTCTTCCCTCCCCACGAGGCATTTCCCCAACCTCCCAACCTTCCCATTTTCCTGGTCTTTCCAGTCGCCACCTCCCCCTCTCCCACCCTCAGGAGTGTGAGGAGATCGTTGCAGCCATGCATGCATCCCTCGTCTCCCCTTCACTCCCCACATGCCACACCCCCTCCATCTTCCCCTCTCTCCTCACCCACAGGAGTTTGACGAGACCTTTGTCGTCATGGATCACTGCTCCCCTCCGTCCATTCCTTACCCACTTTCCCCACCACTCTCCACTCCTCCAACCTCCCTATTTTCACAAACACCTGCCTTTCCCCACTGCAGGAGTTAAAGGAGATCTTTGCAACAATGGACCGCAACGGCAATGTTTGAGGCACCTAATTAATCCTTCCCTCCCCATTTCCCTAAAACCTCCCCCTCCCCCCTGCTTCCCTCTCTCCTCACCCACAGGAGTGTGTGGAGATCCTTGCAACCATGGATCGCTGCTCCTCCTCCCCTCACCCCCACTTTCCCCACCACTCTCCACTCCTCCAACCACCCTAAACACCTTCTCTTCTCCTCTCTCTCCACACCCGCAGGAGTTTGAGGAAATCTTTGCAACAATGGATCGCAACGGCGATGGGTCGATAGATTTTGAGGAGTACGTTGCGGTGATGAGCGGTTACATGGGCGAGCAGAACATGCAGCAGGACCTCATCGCCATGTACCAGCTCTTCTCCGATAAGCGAACTGTGAGTGTGCTACAGTACAAACACTACAGCACACAGGTTTATGCATACAAATCTACCTACATACTAGATAATTTTTGTGTGTGTGTGTATATATATATATACATATATATATATGTGGGCGGGCAGAACACGCACCAGGACCTGATTGCTGTGTACCAGCTCTTCTCTGGTAAGCGAACTGTGAGCATGCTACAGTGCACACATGTGTTAATTAATTTATATTGGATAGTTGTATCTCGGATGGCTTCCTGAGTCCTCTCATAGTCTAATGTTGACTTCTGAGATGTCTCAAAAGTTAAATCAGCTCATAGTTCAATGTTGACGCGCTGAGATTGTTGTGCACTCACTCGCTCCTACGTACGTAGTATTCATATGCTAATTCCTGTGACAAGATGAGTGCTGACTGCTGTGTACTGACCGTGTCAATAATGTGAAACATGCCGGGAATTCTCAACATGCTGGGTATGTGTAACGCGCCGGGGAATGTGCCATGAATATGCAGGGCAAGATATTCCAGTCCATGCTGAAGAGAGGCATGTTGGACCTCGGGATTTGTGCTGGGAGTGTGCGGCCAAAAGTGGTATCTTACTTACACTGTGTGCTGTGAATGTTCCTGTGAATGCGCCCGTGAATGAGCAGGGCAAGATATCGCAGCGCACGCTGAAGAGGGGCGTGTTGGACCTTGGGATTGTCTTCTCCGATGACGAGATCAGGGGCATGTTCTACAGTGCTGACGTGGATGGTATGTTCTAGAATGCTGACGTGGATGGTATGTTCTACAGTGCTGACGTGGATGGTATGTTCTGGGTGCTGACGTGGATGGTATGCTCTACAGTGCGGACACTGATGGTATATTTACCAAAGTGCAATTACAGGCATGTGCTACAGTGCGGACATGGATGGTATGCTATGGACAGTATTACAGATGCTTTGATCCTCTTTGCAGACACGGATGGTACACATACAGATGGTGTGTTCTACAGTGTGGTTACAGATGGTATGTTGTGAACAGTGCAGCTGCAGATGGTTTGAGTATATATCCCTCAGTTCTATATAATTAACCTCACACCTCGTCTGCTGGATTTCTTTATTTTTATACAGCTTCCTATATCTTCCTATTCCAGACACATGCATATGCTTGCTCGCGCCACATGTGCTCACACCCATCCAACATGCTTGCACCCATCCACACATGCTTGCACCCATCCACACATGCTTGCACCCATCCACACATGCTTGCACCCATCCACACATGCTTGCACCCATCCACACATGCTTGCACACATCCACACGTGTTTGCACCCATCCAAACATGTCCACCTCCAATTTCTCCCTCTCCCCCCTTTCAGGCAATGGGGAGATTGACATAGATGAGTTTTCTCGCATTGCTGAGGTGGCAGGGATCTGCTGAGGTGGTGTGGAATCCATCTGAGCTGGCAGGCTCGTGCTGAACTGGCAGCGTGCACAGAGGACTAGTGTAACTGGTTTGATACCAGAAGACTGCTATTGAGTGCATTTTGTAGCCACGGCCTCTGATAGCTGCACAGCCATGTATGGTAAGCAGGATAAGCAGGTTGTTCTGATTTTCTTTTTAGCGAATCAGTGTTATATTATGGAGACAATGTAAATACAGTGTGGCAAGGCTTCTTTGTTTATGTGTGCAGCGCACCACTCTAGACTGCAAGGTAATGAAGCCTACAGGTCCTGTAACTTTCTTCCACGGAACTTGACTGCATTCACTTCACACCGTCCTCTATACTTGGCAATTTGTTAGAGGCTGCAAAACTTAGCTGCCTTGCTTGGATTACCAGATCGTGCCACGAGCATTTGTGCTTGCCAAAGGCTGTACCGAGTTTCTGTACAATGGTAGTTGAAAGTGTACACGTCTACCATGTTGCACTGCAAACAACGACTCATCATCAGCACTGATGCAGTATTGGAATCCATCAGCCATGCACACATTGATACCCCGCATCCACAGTTGACCAAGTCGTATCCAGCGCTAGCACCCCTATCCAATGCTTCTCAACGTTACTTCACATTTCAGACCAGGAAACAAGCACTCCACTCCAAACTTGAGAACTCACAAGTGCCCATTTTTTCTTGAAACAGCAGATTGCCACTCCTGGTAAGCTACTTTTGTCGATTTGCCAAATCCGAATCTCAGGACAGATGCCTCTGCAGCAGCGTGTGGTGCCGTGATCCTTGCAGTAACTTCCTCCTTGTGTGCTACTGATGTGGCACGGGCCTTGACTGGCACAGACATGGGAACCATTGCTGCCTGTCTTGAGCTAGAAGGCCTGGGAATGCGTGATGCACTGCTTGCAAGACGTCTTAGAGCATCTTCACCTGTAGGCGGTGTGACTGCCGCTCCACTGGCAAGTGTTGCCTTGGCTGCTGCTTGCACACTCCGGGTCCTTCCACGTGCTCCCTTGGTCGTGGACCCATCACAGCTGACGGCTGGCGACTTGTCAGCAGCAGGGATCTGCTTCATATGACTGTCGGGAGGAGTAGAAGATTCAACTGACTTCTCAGCAACAGCCAATGTCTTCCCTGGCTTCTTAACAGCATTGTCAGACTTGGCTGTTTCCAAGAGAGAATCATGCAGCTTCACTGGCTTCACAAAAGCATCAACTGCTGCTGTTGATTTCTTCGGCACGACACCAACAGACTTCACTGGCTGAGACGCAATCTTCCCCGATTTCTCGGCAGCATTGGATGGCTGCACTTGTTTCCCATCAGCAGCAGCTGGGTTCACAGGCCATTTGGCAGAATTATGTGACTGCAGAGACCTCTGAGCAACACTGAGTGGCCTCATGGAATTCTCAGTCACCGGCACCTTCAAACTCACATGAACCTCTGGGCGAGACTGATTCTTGCAAACAACAGCGGTTTGACCTTGAGATGGCTTATCAGCAACGGGAGTAGATAGCTTTATGTCTTGAGCGTCTGCTCTCCCCCTCATAGCGACCTTGCCTGAAACAACCTTTAAATTGCTGGTGCTCCGGTCGCTGCTGGCACTGCTCCTTGTCGGAGTGCTTTCACCCGTGGAGCTCACAGCCGATAGTACACTGCCGCCGCTGCTGCTACTGCTGCTGTCGTGGGTCTTATCCGTGCGAGCAGCAACTTCAAGGCGCTGCGCTTGGGGAACATAGGGCGGTGACGATGCTGGTGGAACATACAGCCATGTCTGATCCTCTTCTGAGTATTCTCGCCAAAACTCATGCTCCAAGAATGCCTCAGATTCGCGCAGAGAAACAAATGGCTTTGGAGGAGGCAGATGGTAAGGCACGTGGAGCCATGTTTTCTCTTCTTCAGAGAATGAAGCCTCGAAGTCAACCAGGCCATCCTCGTCATAAACATAGGCCCGCGCAGTCATGATAGCACCAGGATTCAAATCAGTAACCCCTTAAGTCCGGTTAATACGGCAGGAGAAGTTGATGAGTAGGAGGATCCGGTTCGCAAGTCTGAAAAAGAGGAACTAGGATTCGCCTTTTGCAGCCCATCTGCAGGAACTCCTTCGGTGAGCAGCAGGAAGGAATTCACCAGGAAGACGCGCGTACAATCTCAAGGAGGCCATCGTAACGGGAAACGCTTGATTTCGTTGTGCCTGGAACTGGCTTCGCTTTGCTGAGCGCGGTGAGCTCGAGGGGACCTCAAAGAGCGAAGAAACTTGGGTGTGCCTGGAGTGCATAATCGGCCTTGTCAAACACCCGGGTGTCCCTTCTTGGGGCAAGATCTATCCGTTCCGTTTACTTCCTTGGCGCGGGCGGACAAGTTCGCGCTATGCGAAAGCATTGTCGAGGGGAGCGACAAATGACGAGCATTTACAGACTGCCATAGGAGTTCGAAACCACCGTGCATCGCATGCATGATTGGAAAGGCAAGAATCTAGGGATTGGCAGCAAACGTGCTTCGCGGCTATCATGCTCGTGGATTGATTGCTACGAAATCGAAGGGTGGTTTGTGCCTGATGTCCTGAATTCCCTAGCTCGGAGGGAAATGCATTGGCCATGGTGCTACCTCCGAGCCATATGCTCAAGCGGAATGATCGAGGATGCACACCCGTTATGAAATAAGCTGTAATGCGTTAACCAAATGCCGACAGTTAAATACTACTTAATCTGCAAGTCACACATCATGTACGGTAGAACAAATGTGCACAAACATGTCCGGCAATATATACCTCACGATACTTTAAATACAAAATAATGCCCAGCCTGTTCGATTTTCTACAGCACTGCACCAACACCATCCTGGCTGCTAAAGCACACATATGCCATTGCCAACCAGCGCTGCAGCACCACAGCCCTCTCCTTCAATTTCTTCCTGTTTCCCAAGTTCCCTTTCGCATTCTCCGCCGCACCATCCTCTCCTGCAATAACTCGATGTCCTTTTGGGTCCATTTTCCTCCACCCCTCCCCTTTCTCCACTTGCTTCAGGCAGATTCCTGCTTCACCAAACACCCCTTCGCCTTCATCCGCATCTCCCTCCTCCTCCCCATCCCCTCTGCTCTGCACGTCCAGTGCAATGCACTGCATGGCTGTGCACACCAGAGCTGCACACCTCCATGGATTCGCCTGGTGGGACAAGGGATGGCTCGAGTCACACCCAAGCTCTGCAGCAGCACCGCTGCTCTCAGCAAGAGCAGCAGTAGCAGCACAAGCGTTGGGGGTGTCGACAGCAGCAGTGGAAGGAGCTCGTCGTTTTAAAAACATGCATGGAAGATTCGGGGATAGCAAGCGGGGGAGGATGGTTGGGGGTGTGCATGCGTGCAGCGTTTGATGAAACGCTGCTGGCGATTGGTGTCCAAGCGGAGAAATTGGGATCGAAATTGTGGATCGTGCTGTCGACGTTGATAGCGGTGTTGACGCTGCACAGGAAGAGGTGGACGATGCAGATAAGAATGAGAAGGTAGAGGTGGTGGTGGACGTGTGTGTGGGTGTGACCACGGGGGCAGTGGGTGTGAGAGGTTCGGAGCACGAGCTATTGGGCGAGCAGCTGTTTGGTGAGCAGCATTTGGGCGAGGTAGCGTTGGGTGAGGAGGGATTGGGAGACACATTGCCACTGCCACTGTCAGGAGAAAGATCGTTGCTTTCAGGAGAACTGATACTGCAGTCATCAATGCTCCCATATCCATAACCGCTTCCCAAGATACTCTTGCTGCCACTGCTGCTGGAGGCACCAAAGTAAGATGGGTCAAAAGCAGCAGCGGCAGCAGCAGCTCCAGTGGCAGCAGCACAGACTCCCAGCCCCATCTGCTCCACATGTGCCTGTGTTGTCACAGCATAGTCGCTATTAGCATTCTCCTTATCGCTATAGTCACCGTAGCCATTGTACCACTCGAGCACTGCTTCCCCTGCCGCCTCTCCCTCGCATGCCACCGCAGCAGCTCCGACATTCAACCCACATTCCTGAAGCACATTCTCTTCAATCCCACTCCTTTGATGCACGTTTCCTGAAGCCTTGTGTTGAAGTGCACGCTCCTGCGATCCACTCCTAACCGCAGCCGCAGCAGGAGAATCCTGGTTACCATCACAACCCCATCCTTTCCTCCTCCGCCTCCTACCTTCACCATTCCCCTTGCACCCGTCCCCATCTCCCTCTCCTCTCTCCCCTCCCTCACCTCCCCTTTGCGTCACCTTTCCGACAGTAGCACTTTCCCCATACGACGCCCCGTCACAGTCGCTGCTGCCGGACTCAGAAGAAACATCCAAACCTGCTCCCAGCAGTGCATCTACAGCACCGCCTGCTGCCAGCAGCATCTCAGCAGCACCTCCTCCTTCATCCCCCGACCCTTTTCCTCCTTTTCCCCCCACGCCGGCTCCATCTCTGCGCCACAGCAGCAGCAGCTGCAGGCGCTGCCGCTGCAGCTGCTGGTTCTGCTGCTGCAGCTGCTGCACCCGCTGCTGCAGCGCCCACACCTGCTGCTCCCTGCTATCCACATGCCTCGGCCTATGCACGTGCCACTGACTGCCCTGCGTGTGCTGCTGCTGCGTCTTAGCCAGAATTCCACGTTGCCGTGAGGACTGCGATTGCTGCTGCTGGAGCGCCTGATGCTGGGGCTGCACTTGCTGCTGCGGCTGCTGCTGGTGCTGCTGCTCCATGCTGCCTTCCTGAGGCTTCACCTGGGGTGTTGTCGTGCTCTGCTGCACCTCCTGCTGCACTGCTTGACTCTTCTCTTCCTCTCCCTCACCTTCCCTGCTCCTCTCCTCCAACCCCTTCTCCTCCCTCTCCTCAACCACTACTCTCACCTCCTCTTCCACCTTCTCCCCCTGCTCCTCCTTTCCCTCCTCCGTCCCCCCTCTCTTCCCTTCCCCACCCACACCCTCCTCTGCGTTTACTCTCTTCCCCTCCACGCCACTCACCCGTTTCACACCTGTCCGCACGCCCTTCTGCCCATTCCCCCTTTTTGCCGGTGTGGGGCTGTGCGGGTGTACCTCGGAAGCGCAGGCCTTTGCTGGCCGGCGCTTGGCTGGCTTGTGGACGACTGGAGGGGCATGCTTGGGCGCGGAGAGTGACAGTATCGAAGGGCGATAGTCCATGCGGATTCGCCGCGTCATGGCAGAATACCTGGGAGAGACGAAGAGAGGGATAATAAGGGAAAGAAAGGAATGGGCAATAGTGGATGGGTTGGGTTGGGTTGGGCTGAGAAGGGCGAGCGGGTGATACTCCATGCGGATTCGCCGCGTCAAGGCAGAAAACCTGCGAACAACAGGCTGAGGGATAACAGTGTGAGGGAAAGCAAGGTAGAGGCGATTCTGGATGACTTGAGTTTGGTTGGGTTGGGAGGGGCAAGTACGATTGCATGAGACTTCTTGCATTAGCAGGCAATAGTGGTTGAAGAAAGGCTGCCTCACCTGAGATTTGTGGCACCGCAAACCTCACCTGAGAGTAGGGGGCACCACAACACTCACCTGAGAGTGGTCTTGCTGACGTGGACGTCCTGAGGGTTGATACAAAACAGCACAGCACAGAAACCACCACTGCTTCCCCCGCTGCCACTGCTAGACCCGAAAAAGGGGGCACCTCAAACCTCGCCTGGGTGTGGGTGCACCAAAACACTCACCTGAGAGTGGTCTTGCTGACGTGGACGTCTTGAGGGTCGATACAGAACAGCACAGCACAGTAACCGCTGCCACTACCGGACCTGCCTCCCAGGCACGGTTGCAGCAGCCTCGTCAGCAGAGACCGGCGGTACGGCGGGAGGCCCGGCCGAGCCTGGCTGAGGTGCGTGAGGACGGAGGTGAGAGCGAGCAGGCTCTTGTTGATGCTCTCCGTCTCCCTCCTCCTCGCCTCCCTCTGCCCCACCCGCCTCGAACCCCCCACCTGCCGCTGCTGCCGCTGCTGCTGCTGCCTCTGCGCATTCTTCCCTTGCTGCTCCTTATACTGCTGCTGTGTCTGCTGGTACTGCTTCTGCCGGTGTGCCAGGGGCGGCACAAGCGGCCCCTTGGGAAGGCCGGTAATGAGGGGCACTACAGGGCTCTCTCCCCCCCACCATGGACCCTCCTGCTGCTGCTCCCTCCCTCCTGTTGTTCTTCCTCCTGCTCCTGCTCCTGCTCCTGCTCCTGCTCCTGTTCCTGTTTCTCCTGCTGCTGCTGCGGCTGCTGTTGCTGCATCTTCTCCCTTGCAGCTCTCGCTGCCTGCTAGGTCCACCAGGTACAGCATCCCTTCGCTATAAAGCCCTTCGTTATACTGCCCTTCATTCCCCTCGACAACGATCTCTTTTCCCTCTGCTCCACTCACCGGCAGCGTTCTTCTAATCCGAAAAACGTAGAGCATGTGGGAGCGGCTGCTCTGCTTGTTCCTGTTCGTGCCCCGCACCTTGCGCCTCTGCCCTGCCAGCTCAAACGCCACGGCTGCCTCTTCTACTGAGTGCAGCTGCTGCTCCGTTATAAGCTTCCTCCCTGCTGCGTGTAAGAGACTGCTGCCAGAAGTGCTCTTAGAGCTGTCACTGCGACTGCTCCCATTCTCCTTCACTTGCACAGAGCTGGGTTTTACTCCTTGCAGCAAGTCAACGGCTCTTTCATTGTAAATCTCCACCACCGATAGGAAACACAACAACGGTGGCGATTGATTTGCTGCTGGAGACCCCCCATCGCCTGAGAGCGTTGACGTGGTGTTCCCCACCGCTGCTGACGTGTCTGGTGCTGGCTGACGCTGCACCACTGACGTGGACTGTTCCAGTGTTCCCACGGTTTCACGCTCTGATGCATTGACGTCAGCACTCTGAAACCTGGCACGAAGATGAGACACGTCATCACTCTGTGCTGCTCGGAAGACATCTGCCATGGCATGGTGAAAGACCCCCGCTTCCACGTCGCTTCCGCTGATGGTATGTGTCTTGCCTGTGCCTGTCTGCCCGTACAACAGAACCACCGCTCTGCACCCCGCCACAGCCCGCTCCACCGCTCCCTTGCAAAACTCGGTGTATACCTGCTAGACAGGCAGCAAGGAGATGGCAGGTTCAGGTTCAGGGCAGTCAGATAATCAAGCTGAGAAGATGGGTAACCAGGACTTATAACCTGCATTGGTAACCAGGAGGACGGTGACCAGGACTGGTAACCAGGAATGATGACTAGGACTGAGAACCAGAACTGGTTACCAGGACTGATTGTCAAGACTGGTAAAAACCAGGAACGGTAACCAGAACTGGCAACCAGGACTAGTAACGGGGAACGCTAACCAGGACAGGAAACCACAACAAGCAGGTCCTATGAAAAGGGACGGGGATAGGAGCCTCGTATCCATAGTTAAGGTGGACTCATTCATAAAGTGGAATCAGAACTGAAAGCGAAATATATGTTAAGCAACGAGTAACAAGTATTTCTGGCTTGTGCATCGAAGGGAAAGAGCGCACCTCGAAATTGGACGAATCATAGCCGAACACGTGGTTGAACTCGAAGGTCAGGGCCTTAGCAGGAAGGGGAGCAGTCGGCTGAAGTGTGTGTGAAACGCGTGAGGGATGCGACGAGTGAGGCGCGGAATTGGAGGAGGAGGAGGAGGTGGTGGAGCCTGGAGTGGGCTGCGGCGACGGACACGGCGTTAACGCGTTGGGATTGCGTGCTGCGACGACGGTCTGATGAGGGAAACGAAATAAGAAACCTAAGGGGAAAGGTTAAGTAATGAGGAAGAATTTACGCCAGGAAAGAAACTTATTGCCGTGACAAATAAGGTCAGAAAGGCGTCAATCGTCGCGATTGCGACGGTTTGACGAGGGAAGAACAAGGTACACGAGCAGTAGGGATGATGTTGGCTAGGAAGGAAACTCTTAGCGCGCGATGCGCTCTATGGAGAAACGGAGAATAGCAGGAGCACAGGAGCGGTATCGACGAACAGAACCTCCGGAGACGAGACTTTTGAGTTGTTTCAAACGCCAGACCGACCAACAAACGTACATTGGCAGTTACAGCCCAGGCGAGCGGTCCTGCTCGCGATGGCGGTCGCAGGCGACATGCGACCTTCACTCGCTCGCTGAATCCTTGGTCAGATGCTGAAATGGTTCTAGGAACCGCCGTCTCCTGCTCGTTTTCTCCTTCTGAAACGCCTAAGACCGTCGCCATGACTAGGACGGCTCGATCCTACTTCAGAGACGTAACAGTCGAGCAGTCTTCGCAATCTGCTGTACCGTCTCGCGGCGAAAAGCGTAAAGCGTTCTTCCATGATGACTGATTTGAACGACGCGAAGAGAGGTCCGCGAATTCCGCGCGCTCGGACAGATTCCGATGTCTGCGGTAGTGTTCTGCCTTGGCGGCTGATGGATTTGCAAGCTAGGTCATAAAAATCCCAAGGGTTCAACGTGCGGTACAAAACGGTTGTGTCAGATATTATAATGGTTGGAGCAAAATGAGCTGGTGTCGCACGACCTGACTCACGACTCCAACCGATGAGGACTCCGCCCCGCATACGTCGTGTCGGATCGCATGAAGTCGCAACGCAACTCTCGAGTCAAGCTAGACTCCAGAATTCCCAGCCGAGCCTGTCACTGGCTGACCCGCAAGTCACGAGGGTGTGGTTTGGGGTGCTTCGGTTAAAGGTGCACCTCTACGGTGCAGAGCACATGCTTCATCTATTCACCAAGAATATTTAATTGTGATATTGATGTGAGCCCCAATTCTTTGTTGATCAGATCTTCATTGCAGTCCCTTCTTAATCCTCATCTCTCACTGCAATTACGTGCTATTTATAAAATATTTCAAAGTTATTGTGTGTGTGAATTTGTGAAAGTTCTTTTCTTAGCAACTTATCAAGATGTGTAATACTAGTACATACATCAATCATCTTTTTCTAGCATCTAGGGAGAAAGAAACCTTAGCCCCCCCTACACCAGCTTTCCCATCTTGTAGCTCCGCTCCCCCTTGCTCCTTCTTTACTCTTGCTGCAGCTTCCCCTCCCTTCCCCCCTCCTCCCCTTCCCCCTGCCTTCCCTCCTGTGTCTCCGTCACGCTGCCTCTTGTGCGATCCTGGAGTATCAATAGATAACAGGCAACGGGGAAGGTCCAACTCACGTGTTCACGACATGAGCCCAACAGTTGGTGAGTGCACGTGCTACAGACACTAGGCAAAAAACTGGATTAAATGACTACAAAGACTGCCACCAATCCCCTACACCTGACACAAGCGCAAACAGGGCATGGCACGTACCAAGAGCAGCAGCTGGGGGCAGAGAGAGAGAGAGAGAGAGAGAGAGAGAGAGATCTGTCTGCATGCTGCTTGACTTCATGGGTGCCTACAAACACTAGCTTGAACAACGGACGGCTACCACGTAAAGCGTACCATGAGGTTGACAGGGCATGGCACCCACTACATACCGCGAGCAGCAGGGCCGGGCAGAGGGACAGCGATCTGCACGTTGGGCTGCAGCAGGCACTCCTCACGGGGGAGTGCATAGACTAGCTGACGTGATAGACACCTACCACCACATACCACCGCAAACCACCACATACCACCACCTACTACCACCGACCACCCGACACAAGGGTGGACATGGCACCTATCACGTACCACGAGCCGCAGGGCCGGGCAGAGGAACGGCGATCTGCACGTTGGGCTGCAGCAGGCACTCGGCCTCGGGTGGCAGTGCAAAGAGCCCAGAACCGGCTATGGGCGGGATGGGCACGGCATTGCGTGCTCGAGCGAGCTCCATGAGCACCTGAGAGGGACGAAACGCGATGGGTAAGGCGAGGAACAAAGTGAGCGAGAGCAGATAAAGGGCAAGACGCTTTAGCATGGCGTGAACGGGCCAGTTCCTTGAGAACTTGAGAGGGGAGAAGTATGGATGGAAGAGAGGAGCGAACAAGGTGAAGACACTTGCAGTACAAGGCAACTCACTCAGGTGCATTGGCATGGCACTGCGTGCATATGCCAGCTCCATGAACACATAGTGGCAGAGGTGAAATATCACATGGGTGAAAGGCGAGGCAAGGTGCACAACAAGAAAGATGCTTTCTATCTCTCTGAGGGCCAGCTGTGAGAAGGAGGAGGAGGAGACGTTGGCCTGCACGGCCAGGCGCACATCGTCCACCTCAGAGGGTGTTTTGAATTGACTCAGCTGCCCAACCCCCATTCTCTCCTTAAATGCGGGCCTTGGGCCTTTTCCCAGTCACAACCTTGGCCCCTTTACTCCCCCAAACCTTGGGGCCATGTAGCCGTTCCCACTCACTGCTGTGCCCGCGTCTCTCGCTCCTTGCATCTCTCACGTGCATGCTGCTCTGCTCTTTGTTCCTGCCTCTCTGGGCGGTGGCTGGGAGAGGAGAAAGAGGTGGAGGAGACCTTGACCTGTACAGTCAGGCGCACATCGTCCACCTCCAAGGCCGCGTGCCCTGCATGCTCAGCGTACACCCAGTGTTTGAGCCTTGAGTTGGACACAACCTACGACCGTTTTCCCCTCACGGCCGTTTGATTGAGCTTCCGTACACACCGCTGTGCCCCTTGCTTTTAGCTCATCCGTGTGTGCTTTGCTGCTTACCTCTCTGGGCGGCGGCTGGGAGAATGAAGTGGAGACCTTGGCCTGCACGGTTAGGTGCACATCGTCCACCTCCAGCGCCGACCGCACCATATGTTCCCTTGAATCTACACCCTCCCCCCATTTCCATCGTGTACACTGTAACACTGCTGCTTACCTCTCTGGGCGGCGGCTGGGAGAAGGAAGTGGACACTTTGGCCTGCACAGCCAGCCGCACAACGTCCACCTCCAGAGCCGCGTGCCCCGCATTGGCACCTTGAATCTACCCCACTTCCCCGCCTCCCTCCCTCTCCCCCCTCCCCCACCCCACCTTGCATGCTGTCACCTACCTCTCTTGGCGGCGGCTGGGAGAATGAAGTAGAGACCTTGGCCTGCACGGCCAGGCGCACATCATCCACCTCCAGGGCCGCATGCCCCGCATGCTCCGCGTACACACGAGCCTCGCCCAGCACGTCCGTCATGTATCGATAGGCGAACTCTAGGAGCTGGTTATCAGGGAAGGAGCGGGATATGGTGTAGCCAAGGAAAGGAATAAACGACTTGGGAAGCGGAACGAAGCTGCATGCTCCGCGTACATGTGGGCCTAGCTCAGCACGTCCGCCATGTAGCGGTAGGCGAACTCCAGGAGCTGGTTTGGGTGGCAATAGGATGGGATGGGGTAGAGGAAACGGAGTGGGAACACGCGTACACGCGGTAGGCAAACCCCAGATGGTGGTGGTGGGTGGGAGGGAGGGAGGGAGCGGGATTGGTAAGGGTGTGGGGAAGGGATATATAGGGGAACGAGTCTGCAGGCTCTGAGTACACGCGGGCCTCGCCCAGCACGACCGTCATGTTGCGGTAGGCGAACTCCAGAAGCGGAACGTGGAATGGGGTACCAGGAATGGGAACAGGGAAGATATGTTGAAAGGGAAAACGAAACGCGAAACTGAAGGGTGGTGAGAGCGAGGTGGACTCGCATCTTCAATCTCAGTCTAGAAAACATCATCCTTTAGATGCACACAAGCCAGATTCTGCTGCTAGTTGAACAGATAATCTCGCAACCCTGTTTTGAAATGAAGTTCTCGTAAGCATGTCCGACAACTCAACAAAGCATGCTATAACGTTCGCGTCGGAAATCGGCCTTCCTAAATCTGTCACTACAGTCACACGTGCCTGGTGGACGACACGTGGCTCGTAATCTTCCACACCCATCGACTTCAAAATGCTTGCGACCACTTTCGCGTCGCGCGGAACAGGCTCGAAGTTCTTATCCGCCATGTGTGCTGACCAAAGACCTCCTTATAGTCGAAAAGGGGATTTGTAATTGACGACACTAGAACGCGCTGCGAACCAGCAATGAGGAGGCGCTGGAACCGCGGTGTAGCACTTGTAACTTGCGGAAACGACCTGCGCTCGAACAACAGCTGCCTACGACCTAATATGTAATGCGGAATTAGCGTTACACACGCTATCGCCAAACCGCTAGACAGCACGAGATATTTGTCAAGTCACTTTTTCGACATTCGCTTTCGTCACTCTGGAGGTGAACCTCTTGGCACGACGACAGCATATGGAGGCGGCTAGTACGTACAAGGCCTTCATCAATTTCCGGTGCTAGTATAGATGCTAGTTCGTAGAAGCACAAGTTACTGCGATTGCGATTGTACAAACGAACTGTTGACAGGGTGCAAACGAACTCTTGCGATTCTGTCAGCCTCAGCATGAATGCGTCGAAATCGAGTGCGAAATGAATTTGAGTGATATTTGTTAGTGATGATTCGCTCCCGTGCTCGTTGTTTCGATGGATTTGTTACACCTGGTAACCGGACTAGCATGTAGTTCCATGAAAAAATTTGGATGGGTCGCCGTCAGTCTAGTGTCCCCACCCCGTTCAAATACAGCGATCTGTCCCTGAACTGGCATTCTTGCATTTCCACATAAGGTCCAGCCATGACTGGCTTTACCGTTCTCCTGCTTTTCCAGCTTCTATGGCTCGGAGGTAAGGTTTGGTAGTAGTTCTTTTGTCCGACGATAACTATAGACGTAAGGTCTCTGACGTTTCCTGTCTTTTGCAGCTGTTGCTGGTCAGCGAACAGTATGTCCAGCAAACTTCAACAGCGTCATGAGGAACGATGTGTCTTCTTGTAAAGGCTTGGTTAAGAACCCCGAATCCTGCTGTCAGTCGCTTCGAAAGATGGAAACTAACATTCTCTCTGCAAGCTACAATAACGGATCTGCCGACGCTTTGAAAATTGTCGGGAGTCCGTCATACAATAATGCTTGTCGTAACACCTTCCGCACGGTTTTACAGAAGAAAGGGGTAACGGTGGATGTCTTTGGCCTCTGTAGCGGTTATTGGCTGTTCCCTCTTGCAGAAAAGAACATCACCCAAAGCACTTGTCCTTTAACAAGCTACGAAGATGTCGGTTCTGTTGTTAGCTACCGATCATTGTCAGCTTCATGCAATAACGCGAAGTGCTCCAATCCTTCGACTCAAGCATCGACCTCCGCCTGTGGCCAAAGTATTCTCGATGCGGCCATTATGCTGACAGAAAACGATTCTCAGATCAGCGACTGGTAAGTTTCTGTTATTGAATATCAACGCATTTCGCATACCCTTGAATCATGACATTCCATTGCAGTTACTACGTCGTCACAATGAGACTCGCGCAAGCGCACTTCAAGAGCGTCTACAAATCCGTGTTCTTCTTGTGCGACGCTGTGCCTCCACTCGCTAATGTAAGAATTGCTCGTTTGAAGTCTTTCATTCAGATTCTAACTTGAAATACGCAGGCTTCCATTAATTTAACCGCTATATCATCACCGCCTCCGGTGGCTGCACCACCTGTCCAAGGACCAGATGCATCAGCTCCATCGCCTTCGTCAAACCCGTCGTCCCCTGGACCAGCACCTGCCCCTTCATTGGTAGCACCTTCTTCCAAACCTGCTCTGGCACCTTCGGCAAAAGCAAACTCAACAAGGCATGCACCATCTTCCGCGCCAAGTCCAGCACCAGCAGGCTCTACTAGCCCAGCTTCAGCTCCAAGTCCAGCACCATCAAGCTCTATTAGCCCAGCTTCAGCACCATCTCCATCACCTACCAATAAGACGATTGGTGTACCTGGATCGCTCAACGAACCCCAAGAACCTTCAGGTAACGTCCTGCTGTCATTATGTCAATCGTATTTCCATTGCTCAACCTGTGTTTTACAGGTTCAAACACAGGTTCCGTGGCTAAAACAAAGGGTGCATCTTCAGGAACCGGTTCAGCGTTTTCAGGATTTATTGTTGTGCTGGTTATGTTATGCCTATGGTAAAAGGGGAGAAAGAAGTGGGGAACTGTAGACTGTAAAGCTGTGGAGAAGCTTGGTACGCACATGCAATGGTGAAATTATTTGTAGGGAGGTATGGCATTATGGCAGGGAATAAGTGCTACCAAGCAATGCGTTGATGCTTCTTTATGAGTAAACTCCAATTGTATGAAGTATTGTAATGAATTTTGTATGTGACACATAATGCACTGCGGAAGTCACAAAACTTCAGCAAACCGTTTCTAAAAGCGAACCAGCACTGTAATGAGAGCAGGTCCTACGAAAGCCGCCAGACAATCCACAAGAACGCGAGTCTGTATTCCACGTCCGTTTCGTGTACATCCACGCCACCCGAATCCTTCGCTTTCTCTTCTGCGGTTCGATCTAGCATTTTTCGTCGTTCTGTGAAATACTCCGTCATCGATTATGGACGCGGATCAGAAGCGAGCGAGCTTTGAGCTGCAGCAGTTTCTGGAGCAGGAGAAGCAGAAGGCGATGCTGAATGAGCTGGTGGCGAAGCTCACGGAGGTGTGCTGGGACAAGTGCGTTACGGCCGCGCCGGGAACCAAGTTTAGCGGATCGGAGTCTTCCTGCCTAAGTAACTGCGCGCAGCGGTATCTTGATGTCAGCGGACTGGTCGTGCGGAAATTCCAGGGCATGCAAAGATGACGGCTGTGGGATCGGGGGTTAGGGAGATATCAGGATTTTGGGACGTAGGGCGTCTCAGATGTAGCGTATCTGTCACCAGAAACGTGGGCGTTAGATTGATGGCTGATCAATAGGTTGTATTTGGCTTTAAAATGTGGAATTAGAGAGTGATGATTGAGTTTGCTCCGTTCGCTCTCTCTCCATCGCGTCCTTCACCGCCCGCCAGGTCCTCACCGCTCTTTACCCTACCCGTTTTCTGAACCCGCACCTTTCCCCCGCCTTCTCCCCTTTATTCTCTCTCTTTTCCCCTCATTCCACCCTCCCTTTCCCCACCGTCTCTCCCTCCCTCCTCTCCCCCTCACTGTCTTCCTATTCTCCCTCCACCTTTCCCCACCTCCCGTACTTGATATCGTCTGGCTCCGGATATAAGCGCATATGCGCTTACAATAAAATCAGTTTTTTTAGGGGTGGCGCTTGTAATCGAGTAACGGCCATAAGCGCCGGCGCCTATACGATGTCAAAAATGAATTTTGCTTTTAAAGGTACGAAATTGAAGCCCTCAATATGGCGAACAAGGCCATGTGATGTGCGCATGGGATCGTGCATGAAATTCCACCGAAAAACAGCCGCGACTCGATTTCCCACCGCACAAACCCTGTCCCGGAGGAACGCACCTGGCAGCGATGACGTGCGTTCTGCCGTGCGGCCCAATAGCAATGTCATGCGCTGCCAGGGTGGAACATTTCACCCGAACCTTCGAGAAGGGGGTGGAATCTCCCTGCCAGCGCAGCAGATTCGTGCCGCGATTCCCTCCTCTGCGGGTTTAAGCAGGGGGGTACTGTCAAAATGAGGAATGATGATGCCATTGATGTTGGTTGGGGTACATATGACAAACCCTAACTTCTGTACCCCCTAAGACAAACCTCACTACAGGCTACAACATTTGACACACCCCCATAGCCTAAGTGAGGGGTGTCTAGCAAAATAAAAAGAGTACGGTCACAAGACCAGTCCAAAAGAAAACAAAGCTCAGGGTGGATCACAACGTCACCACACTCTCTGAGCACAAGCAACGGTGGCCACAAGGCCAGTCCAAGAGATCACAAGTATATATAGCAAGAGTACAGACGAAGCAGGCAATAAACTCAAGCCTACACATGACTAGAACCTGTGTCAACAAGGCCTAACTGCACACAACACCTCTGGTGGTCACGAGGCGGAAGCGCCTTGGTGAAGATGTCTGCAGTGTTGGCCTCGGACTCCACAAACTCGAAGCGAGCCTGTCCACGTCTCTGCAACTCTCGCAGAAGAAAGTACCTGACGTGAATGTGCTTCACTCTGCTCTCCAGTCGCGGCTCACGACAGAGGAGGATCGACGCCTTGTTGTCAGTGAACAAGGTCGGTGCAGAGCTCGGCCGCTCACCAAGGTCGGCGAGCAAGAAGGTCAACCAACGCAACTCCTGTGCCGCCATGGCACCAGCGTAAATCTCAGCCTCAGCTGTAGAGGTCGAGACAGAAGAGGAGCGCGTGGAACGCCAGGAAACAGCTCCAGAACCCAGACTGAAACAGTACCCCTGAGTAGACCTGTGAGTCTCAGCGTCGTCAGCGTAAGAGGAGTCACAGTGACCAGTGAGTACGACAGACTGCTGCCCTCCAAGAACTAGCCCCACGCCTGATGTAGTCGCTAGGTACTTCGCCACCCTCACAGCTGCCGTCCAGTGAACAGGACGGTGTCTCCCTGGCGCAACAAAGCGCGCAAGGATGCTGAGAGGGAAGGCGAGGTCCGGGCGAGTACAAGTCATCAGGTACATGAGGCAACCCACAAGCTCTGCGTAGGGACCACTAGGCTCAAACGGCTCGTCAGGAAAGGGACCAGTGAGTCTGTGGTCAACAGCGAGAGGTGTGCGCTGTACGGTGGAGTGCTGAAGCCCGAACCGTTGAAGGACCTGCTGCACCATGTGTGACTGTGAGAGTGTAATGGTGCGAGCGGCTCTGTCCCTGGTGATCTGCAGGCCAAGGTAGTGGCGCAGCTCACCAAGATCAGTGCACGTGTGTCTCTTCTGCAGTTCGGACTTCACGTCTGCCAAAGCAACCCTGTCCGGAGTGGCGAAAACGAGGTCGTCGACGTAAACCAGAACAAAGAACGGTGTGGAGCCACGACGAACGAACAGCGACGGGTCGGCAGAAGACGGCTGGAACCCAAGGTCAGACAGGGTAGAACGCAGAGTGTCGTGCCACTCACGAGGGGCCTGGCGAAGACCGTAAACAGGTCGCCTCAGCCTCCACTGGGTCCCAGGAGGGAAGGTGCCAGTGAAGGCCGAGGGACGACGCAACCAGACCTCCTCGTGTAGGCTGCCCTGAAGGAAAGCAGTGGAGAAGTCGAGAGAGTGTAACTCGTAGTCTCTCTGTGCTGCTACGTGTAGTAACACCCGAAGAGTGGTCATCTTCGGGGTAGGTGCGAAGGTCTGAAAGAAGTCAACTCCCTCGCGCTGACTGAAACCTCTAGCCACGTAGCGCGCCTTGAAGACCGGGGGAGATCCCGGTGGCCGCTTCACCCTGTAGATCCACATGCCGTCGACTACGTTCGCCCCAGGGGGGGGAACCTCATCGACGTAGGTGCCTGTGGATCTGTAGGAGGCCATCTCTGCGTCCATGGCAGCTCTCCACTGAGAGGCCCAAGGCCCTGACACTGCCTCAGCGTAAGTGCGAGGAGTCGGAATGTCAAGGGCGTCGGGGTCACCCTCAGGGGCGAGGAGCATGGCACAGAGATGAGGGGAAGCGGCCGCCAGAAACTCTAGCTCAAACTGCCTGTCCTCTAGGGCGTCACAGCCAAGGGCAGACACACCCCCGATGGCCAGAGGACTGGTAGGAGGAGCAGCCACAAGCGTGGTGGCGTAGTCAAGGCGGCGGGTAGAGGCAAAGTCAGTAACTGCGGCAGTAAGAGCGGACACAGAGGACACAGAGGCACGAGGGTGAGTAACAAGAGAGGCGAGAACACGAGAGAGAACAGGACGGTACGTGCGGTAGTAGTCAGTGACAGGAGTAGGGAGCGACACAGTGAGGGCCGACTCAGGAGGAGACGGAAGCACAGACTGAGACGGACGAGGTGGACTAGAAAGAAGGAAGGCAGTACGAAGGTCAGTGAAGGGAACAGGAGACGAGGGACGAGCACGAGGGGAGCGACGAGTAGCCCAAGAACGAGACGGAGGAGGAGAGGACAAAGGCGGAGAACTGGGGAAAACAGCGGGGGAGGAGTCAGGAGGAGGAAACGTGGGACCGTAGACAGGAGGAGAGGCGGAGGAGGGAGGAGAAGGGGAGGGGAGACCAAGGGTCCGAAGACCCGAGACAGGAGGAGGAAGTGGCTGCTGCTGCTGCTGCTGCTGCGACTGCTGCTGCTGCGGAAGCGGCTGCTGCTGGGACTGCTGCTCCTGCGGGTCCAGCGGCTGCTGCTGCTGCTGCTGCTGCTCCTGCGGCTCCAGCTGCTGCTGCTGCTCCTCCAGCCGCTGTAACTCCCTCTCCTCTCTCTCCAACGCCAGCTGCTCGTCACGGGTACGGCGAACACGAGCCTGGTGCCTAGTCGGGTAGGGGTGGGGGGGCGGAGTAGTGTCCGAAGCAGCAGTAGCTCCAGAGTCCACCCCCGAAGAACCAGGCGCACCACCCCCAGAGGCAGCACTAACACCAGCTCCAGACCCAGGCTCACCAGAACCCGAAGGAGGCGCACTCTCACCCCCAGTGTCCGCGCGACCAGCACCAGCTCCCGGACGACAAGAGTCCTCTGCACCCACCGGGTCAGCTCCAACTACAGCTCCAACCCCAGCACCCCCAGAACCAGAAACTCCAGTGCCAACTCCAGCTCCAACTCCAGCTCCAACTCCAGCTCCAACTCCACCACCCCCAGAACCAGAAACCGGTACAGGAACAGGCGCAGCACCAACCTCTCGAGAGCTAGCACCTGCGGCACGCTGCGAGGAGGACTGTGGGGAGGGAGGCTGTACCGGAGAGGCTACCGAAGGAGGAGGGGTAGCCTGGGACACACCCGACGGGGCTGCACCAGGGGGGGGAGGCTGTACCGGGGGAACAGGAGGGGGAGCGGCAGTCAGGAAGAGGGGGGGAGGAGGAACCTGGAGACCTCGACTGGGGTACCTGACGTAGTACGGAGTGGACTCCTCGAAACGGACGTCACGGGAGTCAAAGAACCGGTGAGAGGGAGGGTGGTAAAAGGTGAAGTCAGAGGAGTCCTCAGGGAAACCAAGGAAGACACAGGGGACGGCACGAGGCGAGAGCTTGTCCGCGGAGGTGTCGCGGACAAGAGCCAAGCACCCGCAGACACGAAACCGCGACACAACACCAGGGGACCCTGTCCAAAGACTGGTCGGTGAAACCTCTGGTCGAGAGACACGTGGCCAGAGGTTCAACTAGTGCGCGGCGTACCTGACCGCGTAGGGCCACAGAAAATGGGGGGCACAGGCGTGAGTCAGGGAGGTGCGGGCGATCTCCATGACCAGGCCTATGCGGCGCTCAGCAACCCCATTCTGCTGTGGGGACTCTGGAAGCGTCCAGGACTGACGAATGCCCTGCTCGCGACAGAATCCAGCGAGAATGCCGGAGCGAAACTCACCCCCACGGTCGGAGTGGAGGCAGCTGACACGACGACCACGAGTGTCCTCGGTGGTGAGCAACCACCTGATCAGCGTAGAAGTCACCTCAGACTTCTTCGCCAGAGGGAACACTGTGGTGTAGCGGGAGAAGTCGTCAACGACCACCAGAAAGTAGCGCTCACGCTCAGGGCCTAGACGAGGGGCGGGGCCCCAGACGTCCAAGTGAAGCGTCTCAAAAGGCTCGGTGGCCGGACGAAGAGAGGAGGAGTGAGGGGCGGCGCGCAGCCGACCCTCGACGCAGGGACCACACGGCGGCGCAAGCGAAGGCGGCAGCGACGGCAAGACACGTGGGAGGCCTAGGACAAGACGCTGACTAGACATAGCGCGCAGACGAGGAAGGGACGGGTGCCCCATCCGGTGGTGCCACAGAACGGTGGGGTGGGCAAGCGACCGGCAGGAGCACGACGCAGCGACTGGAGCAGACGTAGGAACCTGACACGACACAGACACCTGGGGGGACGAAGCAACCTGGTGAGACGCGGGGACCCGGACAGGGGGGGGAACCGGGGGCAGTGGCAGTAGGGGCGGCTGCTGGTGCGACCGCTGGTGCAGCTGCTGCTGCTGCTGCTGCTGCGGCTGCGGCTGCTGCTGCTGCTGCGGCTGCTGCTGCGGCGCACGCGGGCCAGTGTGAAGAGTATAGAGACCTGAGCCCGGCTCAGCAGTAAAGGTAGCAAGAGGCTGGTAAGAGTCTCCGTCAACACACACCGCAGTCTCTCCAGAAGGCTCAAACCACACACCCACGTGCTGACTCACGAGGGGTCGCACGCCCACCAAGTTCCGGGAGAACGAGGGGACGTGAAACCCAGTGAGAGACCCGGAGGGAGCAGCAGGACACGGTAAAGTGGTAGTGTGACGTGCAGTGACTGGTCCCGTAGTGGGATCAGCCAAAGCCACAGAAACAGGCGCAGGAAGTGGTGTAAGTGTCGTGCTGTCCCGGAAGAAGCAGTGTGAGGCTCCAGAGTCCAGCGTGAACGACAGCGAAGCGTCCTCTGAGGTAGTCGCTGGTCTAGAGTCTACACAAGAACCTACACTAGCAACAGGCAACTGAGCAAGACTAGCACCTAAGCTAACAACACCAGAGTAAACAGAGTCAGAAACACTAGAGTCAACAACAGCATACATAGCATGAGGAGCACCAATCTGATCAACTAACTGCTCAGCAGACATGCCCCACAGAGCGGAGCCGTAGCGCTGAACCAGAGGAAGCCAGTTAAGAGCAGGACCGCCAACCCCGTAGGCCAACCGGACCGTGTCAGTGAGCTGAGCAAAGCACTGACCAGGGGGGTGAAAGCGGCCACAAGGGTGGCCCCGACGAGGACCTGTCAGAACCTGATAGGTGCAGGGAGGGTAAGAAGCACCGCGCTGGGGCTGACGCAGCCCCGACCCCGGAGCCAGCTGCTGACGCTGCTGCTGCTGAGGCTGGCGGGAGGAAAGGGGCTGCTACTGCTGCTGAAGGTGCTGCTGACGCTGAGCCTGGTACCACGCCGCTGCTCCACCTAGCGGGGTCGGCAGTACAGGAGGCGACTGACGAGCTCGGGGGTCGCCGCCACCAGCAGGCGCAGTGGAGTCACCAGCCGCTGCACGAGAAGTCTCTCCAGACGCTGCACTCCCACCACCGCCAGTCGCAACAGCACCCCCACTACCTCCGCTACCTCCACCTCCACCTCCACCAGAACTACCTTTCTTGCCCCCCTTGCCGCGGGACCGCGACGCAGTCGTAACAGCAGCCGCAGTCGCGTCAGTAGCGGCAGTGGCGAGAGAGGCAGTGAAGGTGGGTAACTGCGGGACTGTGCACCCGTGGAAGAGTGGGGGGGACACAGTACCAGAGGCGGCAGCTACCGAGCGAAGGTTGCTCTCGACGTCCTTGAGTGCAGACTCAAGGACCTCAATAGTCAGCTCACTAGGGTGCTTCAGCAGAAGCGCGTCACGAACGGAGGCTAGGCGGTCAGGGAGGCTAGTGGCGATGAAATAGACAGTAATCGCCATGGGGGGAGGAAGCAGTGCAAGCTGTGCCTCAGTGCAAGCAGCGCGGTAACTAGCGTCGAGCGAGCGGAGGTGAGCGATCAAGTCAGCAGAGTGCTCAAACGAGGCGAGATCAGGAAACAGGAACGGGAGGAAAAGACGTCCAAGAGAGACAGTAGCGGGAGTAGAGTAGCGGGCCTTAATCGCAGTGAGGTACGCAGCAGCGGTGCGAACCTGAGTAAAGTGGACCTCCTCTGACTCAGGGAGGAGGCTGCTGAGTGCGATGCAGGCCGCAGCGTCACGCGACGTCCAAGCCGTCCGGTCAGCGCGCTGACGGGCAAAGCGAGCCGTAGCAGCGTCGTCAGGGGCAGAGCCTAAAGCTGTAGGCTCGGGGGGCTCGGGGAGGTCACCAGTAGCGTGCGACCAGAGGGTCTTGCCCTCCTGGACCTGACTCTCTAACAGACGGCGAGTGCGAAGAAGCCAGACGGAAAAGTCAAGTGGTCTACCGTCAGCGTCGAAACGAAGAACTCGCGGAGTCGCCATAGTGAGAACTAACGCGAACGAACAGGCGAGTAACAACCGGGGAGAAGAGGCAAATTAGGGTTCAGGTGGGAAGGGGACTCAGTCGCAGCGGAAGAGCGGGCTAGGGCGACGGGCCAGGGCGTAGGGTAGGGCGACGGGCTAGGACGTAGGGTAGGGCGACGGGCCAGGGCGTAGGGTAGGGCGACGGGCCAGGGCGTAGGGTAGGGCGACGGGCCAGGGCGTAGGGTAGGGCGACGGGCCAGGGCGTAGGGTAGGGCGACGGGCCAGGGCGTAGGGTAGGGCGACGGGCCAGGGCGTAGGGACGGGACAGGGCGACGCGACGGGGCAGGGCGGCGCGATGGGGCAGGGTGACGGGACGGGGCAGGGCGACGCGACGGGGCAGGGCGACGCGACGGGGCAGGGTGACGGGACGGGGCAGGGCGACGCGACGGGGCAGGGCGACGGGACGGGGCAGGGCGACGCGACGGGACAGGGCGACGGGACGGGGGGGAAAGGGCGGGCACGACGTGACGGGGGGAACGGGCGCGACGCGACGGGGGGAAAGAGCGCTAGGCGACGGGGGGAAAGGGCGCGACGCGACGGGGGGGGGGGGGGGGGGGGGGTGTGCGGGGGGGGAAAGGGCGCTAGGCGACGGGGAGAAAGGGCGCTAAGCGACGGGGCAGAGGGCGCTAGGCTCGGTACTAGGCGCGGTAACAACGGAACCGGTACGAACGAGAGGTAGGATCAGGTTCGGGAGGGACGAACGGAGAACGGAGGAACGGGATCCCACAGGATCCTAACCTAGCTGATACCATGTCAAAATGAGGAATGATGATGCCATTGATGTTGGTTGGGGTACATATGACAAACCCTAACTTCTGTACCCCCTAAGACAAACCTCACTACAGGCTACAACATTTGACAGGTACCAGACTATCCCTGAAGAGGATCTCGAGGCGCACACCAGAAGGGGTCCACTCCAAACCCTCATTTCTTCTCCCATTCTCTCACTTTCACCTTCAGATTCTTGTTCTCTCCCGCCTGGCTGCGGAAGCCATGGCGGAATTCTCAGGCACTCATTTCTTGTTCAAGAAAAAACCAAGCCGTAAGCCCGCCTTTGTAGTTGACGAGGACGGATGGTACTCCCGTGTCCCACCTAGCCCACCACAGCCACCGCTGCCTCCAGCGCCGCCTGCAGGGCCTCAGATTCGTTTGAGGGTACCCTGTGGACTCAGGGCAGGTTTTAAGAATTCCTATTTTGTCCTGAACTGTCAGGATAGAGCAAGGGTGGGTATGCTGTAGGGTCAGTGCTACAAGTGACATTATCCTGCCAAGTCAGTGCTACTTTTCACTTTATCCTGTGCACTTTGTTAGAAGCTTAGTTTCCCTTGTAATCACATCACACACACACAGACCAATCAGTCAGGCAAAGCAGGGCACAGTAATAATGACTTAAGAGCCCTTATGAAAGTTCTCATTGTTATGGTAAATATTGAACATGCACTTCAGTACCCCTCATCATCATCCTCTGCCTCCACCTGATCATCTTCAGAGGCATCGTCTTCAGCATTGTCCCTTCCACTGTCTACAGCATCATCATCACCCTCCTCAGCAGCGTGATGATGGTCACGCTTCTCTGCTAGTGACCCCCGGAACCCTGTGCCACTCCTCCTCGATACATCCACAGTTGCTGCCTTTCGCTTGGTGGGTCGCCTCTTCCTGGTGCTGCGCCACAATGCCACGACTTCGCTCCACACCATGTCGTAGTCTAACAAGCTGAGCGTCATGAGGTCGGCCAGCTTCGCGTCATGCAAGCTGGTCCGGATCCAGCTCTTGATCACGTTTTGGCGCGAAAATCCGCGCTCGCACTCCACCGTGCTGAGAGGCAACACCGCGACGGCCTCCCACAGCCGCACCAGGTTCGGATAGGTCCGCTGCCAGTCCGATGTTGACAATATCGCCCGCAAGCCAGCATGGAACGGCTGCTCCTCCGTTGGCGCCCCGGACAGCACAGATAGGAAAGTGCGCATCTCCTTCCGCACTTCGCGCTTGTTGACACCTGCTTGGTGGGGTGTTAGAAAAAACCATACACGAGGGTTTTGGGTCATCTCTGGCGGTTACGTGGCGGAGTCTACACTGCAATTTACAATTCACACAAGGGTGCAATTTACACTGCAACGTGAAGTGTGTAAACAGACACGGAAACTCACCAGGAAGGATCTCGTCCCTGTCGCGCGCATGGAACATCACCGCTAGCTTCTCCATGTGTCCCTTGCACTCCGCGTCCCTCGCCTCTTTTCCTCGCGGCCATGACCTTGGCATGAAGAGCTTGGCGGCGTTGAGGTTCGACAGGTCGCCAAGCCGAAAGTCGAGGTTGTACAGCAGCTCCGTCGCAAACGAGCGGCACGTCCGAATGCAAGACGGCAGGTCACCGACGCCCTCCGCGTAGCCAGGAATCGGCTCCTCGTGCAGGGTGAACTCATGCTCCCTTGGCACACCGTCGGTGTCCACTCCCTGCACTTTCATGCTCCTGCTGCATGCAGCACCGTGCCGAGCAAGGAACGGCGATAGCAGTGCGCTCGACCCAGCACCGAACTGCTGCCCACAGTCAATGTACCGCTCCCTAATGAAAACCTCGAGGCGCCTCATCTGGGAGTGAACCGCCGTCAAGTCCACCTGTGATTGGGTTGAGGGGCAGGGAGGACAGACGACATAAAAGAACGGTAAGTATCAGTTCGTTTGAGACCTCGCTTTTGCAAAATGTGTGGCAAATACCTCGCGCCGTTGGAAGAGAAGGTTGAGCATGTTCAGCTCGACGTGTACATCCGCCAGGAAGT